CATCCCATCCCCCTTCCCTTTCTCACCCAGCACTGAGGAGGAGGAGGGATCTTGCAGCCAGGAGGGAGCTGGCACGAGCAATCCCCATCACTGGAGCAGAACCACCAGACCTGCCCTTGTCCCGACACCCCATGAGCCAGCCCTGCAGCCTTCCTCCAGGATGACCCAGCCTCAGTGCAGTGGAACGGCCGTGCCTCAGTTTCCCCCAGCACCCTCCCAACACAGTCTTGGGGACATACTCCCTGGCTCTGCCCATCCCCAGCATTGGACTCCCCAGCATTGGACTCACACAGCATCTTCGTGACCTGCCTCCTCTTGACTTTCTTCTGCCCCTGGGTGTTGTGGCAGTCGGGGCTGCTGCTGGACTTGGCTCCCAAGGCCTCCAACATCTTTTCTTTCTTGAGCTGCAGGCCAATGAGCAGGTAGAGGACGCTGATGGTCCCCATGGGGAGGAAGAAGAAGACGATGGTGGTGATCTGGATGATGAGGTTGTAGGTCAAGCGCGGCTTCACCAGGGTGCAGATCTCCGAATCGGGCACCCGCCCTCGGCCGGGCACGTAGAGAGGCTGCAGCCCGTGGAGGCTGGTGTTGGGGATGGAGCAGATGACCGACAAGACCCAGATGGTGCCAATGACCCTCTTGGCATGATTCCTGGTCACCACGTACTTGGCCTTGAGCGGGTGCACCACGGCGATGTAGCGCTCCACGCTCAGGGCCGTGACGTTGAGGATGGAGGCGAAGCAGACGGCCTCGAAGAGCAACGTCTTGAAATAGCAGCCGCTGGCGCCCAGCAGGAAGGGGTAGTTGCTCCACATGTCGTATAGCTCCAGCGGCATCCCCAGCAGCAGCACCAGCAGGTCCGAGACAGCCAGGCTGAACAGGTAATAGTTGGTGGGTGTCCTCATGAAGCGGTGCCGGAGGATGACAATGCAGGTGAGCGTGTTGCCCACAGCCCCCACCACGAAGATCAGCAGGTAGATGACACAGACAGGGACAAAGAAACTGGACCGGCGAGGTCCCAGGTACTTATCCCGCAGCTGCTCCTCTGTCAGGTTGGCATCCTTGGGGTCCATCAAGGTCTCCGGGTGAGTCCTGCTGCAGAGATCGGGGCTGATGGGCTCCACGGGAAAGTCTCGCTGGGGCAGAAGGAATTCGGGACTGGAGCAGTTGATGTAGGGATTCATGGCTGCAGAGAGACAGGGAGGTTTGTGGGATGGTTTACCAACCCCTCTGCAGTCCCCCACTCGCTCTGCCCCTCTCCCCCTTGATGTCAGGGTGCCAGGATGCTGCTCCTCCCCACAGTGCAGCACCCTCGCCCCCATCCTGCCCCAGCCACAGCCTTTCCTTTGGGAAACCACCAAAAATCTCCCCCAAACCTCCCTCCAAGCTTCCCAAGCGCTCCTTGCCCTCTTTCCCATCCACACACAACCCTGGCAGCTCCCCAGCCCACCTTGGCCCCTTAGTCCCATTATTGGGGGGATCTCAGCAGGACCGTCCCCTCTCCCTGCTCCCAAAGCAGAGCAGGATACAGCCCCAAAGCCAACCCCAAAAATCGATCCTGGCTCCAATTCTACCAGCTGTGCAGAGGAGCTGATGGGGTGATCACAAAACAGACAGAGGGAAAATTGACTTTCCAACCCAAGAAGGACTTACGGCTTGTCGGGAAGCTCCAGATGAAGGCTGAGGTCCCACCACCCCTGTGCCGGAGGGGTCCGGCTGGGGAGGAAGCGTGGGAGGGGATGGAGACTTCACTGCCTTAAGAGGCAGGCTAATGAAATCCTGCCCCTGCTCTCCCCTCCGGAGAAGCCGCCTGCCCTTTTCCACCTTCTCCCTCCCGTCCTCATCAGCCGAGAGGCTGGTGAGCGAGCTGGGGGTTGTCAAAACGCGGTGCTGGGCAAGCAAAGCCCGGTGACGAGCCCCTGCTCCTGCCGGGGGCTGGCTCCTGGTTTGCAAAGCAGCGCTGCCGAAAAGATGCTCTTCAGAAAGAGAGAGAGAGGAAATACGTTAAAGTAATAAACTTTGACTCGAGGAGAGTCCCGGGGGAGCACGGCGCGGCCGTCTCCAGCCCCACCAGCAGTCTTCACAACGCAGGGATTTGCCATTTGCGTGGCCTCCGCGATGAGTAAGGCATCGATCGGCCCCACTGCCATCCTGACCCTGCCAGGTGTGGGGGCCCAGGCAGTGCCCAATTATCCGGGCTCGTCTGGGGAGATGAGGACAGATCCAGCGGCTTCCTGCGATCTCCTTGCTTCCAGATGTGCAACCCCTGGGTCACCCGAATCACACCCCCACGGAGCAGGTGGCTCCAGCTGGCTGCCGTCACACTTTGGTGCGAGGAAGTTGCTTTGCTCCATGCTGTCTGCTCCCTCCCTGTGCCCGCTGTCTGTCTGTCTGTGCTCCTGCCTGTCCTCTGCGCTGGCACCCCAACCTGCTGGTAACCCCTGGGCTGCAGGGCAGCGCTCCAGCTTTGGGGGCATGCACAGAC